GCATTTCCCCAATAGAAAAAGTCCCTGATGTATGAAGCTTCATCTCACAACTGTCTGACTTTATGACGAAACAAAAGCCATCCACATTCAGCAGAAACCGCACTGTGAGTTTTGACCCTTTCCTGGGCTACTGATACTCCCTTGCCCTGTGGGGCAGCCAGGTGCAGCCCCAGCCAGCCAGGGAATCACGAAAGTCAACAGCCCGCTCTGTGTATTGCTAGAGATTTTTGGATACTCTGTTTTGTGTTTTCACATCCCATCATGTCTACAAAATGCCCACCTGCGTACAGTATTCAACACTTTAGTATAAAATAGGCTTGATGTGAGATGATTCACCCAACCGTGGGCTAACGTACGTGTTCTGAGTAAGTCAGGCTAGAAATCTCTGGTTAATCTGGTAGGTTAATCACCTAAACTACCAACTATGATTAGGTGTATTAAATGAATTTTTGACTTGTGATATTTTCAACTTATGATGGGTTTTTCCGGAGGTAGCCTCATCATAAGTTGAGGGACGTCTGTAATGTTATTTTGGTCTGTCTTTTGCTTGATCGTTCTTTATACGTATATATCAAGGAATTTCAAGAAATGTATATGTATATTTAAATATATACTTATTTATTTAAATATATGTAATTATTTAAGCATAGGTACTTATTACTTATTTTATATATACTTATTAAATATATCATGTATTTAAATATATACTTACATATAAATAATATATAAATATATATATTTTTAGTGTGCAACAAAAAACAGAAGGAACTGCGACATATTAATCTATTTTACCCATTTGCACTTACCTGGTTTTGCTACTGTACTAAGTTATGTAGAATGTAAACATGGGGCAAACTGAGCAAAGGGCATGCAGGACCTCCTTGTACATTTCTTTGCAACTTCCTGTGACTCTGTCATCATTTCATAATTAAAAGGCTTTTAAAGAGCATGAATAATTAGCCAGTGTGGTGGTGCATGCCTGTGGTTCCAGCTACTCAGGAGGCCGAGGCAGGAGGATCTTTTTAATCCGTCAAGGCTGCACTGAGCTGTAATCGCACCACCACACTCTAGCCTGGGTGACAGAGTGAGACCCTGTCTCAGAAAAAAACAAAAAGAGCATGAATAAAGTTACCCAAATCTTCTAAAACTGTAACTTGAAACTTGGGTCCTTTCTGAAAAGATAAAGGTTTAAAAAAACTAGATAACATGAGCATTGGAATCTGGAACCACTTTGGGCCCTAAAGGGCTGATGCTAGTGAAGTTTGGCTCCAAGGCTGCACAGATTGAGGTACTGCCCCACCCCACCCCCCAGCAAACAAGGAAATGGAGTGTAGCCTCAGTCCGTGGCATGGACCTTGGTTCATTACATTTAACAAAATCCCAGCAGAGGGAAGACAGGCCCCGCTATTCCTGCAGAGATTGTCCCGCTCCACACACAGACTTGTTTCTCCTTCGCACCACTCACCCCAGCACCACCAGACTCAGCCCTCAAACGCTTGCTCAGAGCAGGGTGTAGAGGAGAGTGGGGAGGAAACAAACTGAGCCTTAAAAAGTTAGAGGAGGGACAAGTAGTTGCTCAACACTTCTCCCAGCAACCAGAACATCTGGGAGAACTTTCCAAACACAAGCGAGATGAGAAGAAAAACATGGCAATTCTGCAAACATACTAAAACAGATCTCTATAAAATGAAGGAACACCAAGCAAAAGACACACCAAAATAACAACACAAAAGAAAACCAACTCTAAAGGCAGAAAGCTATGGAATAACCGGCAAGCTATAGAAAAGCTCAAAGGTGAGATTTTACACACAAAAAATAGAATTGGATGAAAATGAAGTTATTGAAATACATTGAGGACCTAAAATGTTATAAACAGCAATGATATAATGACAGAAGCAGCAAGAAACAAAATAAATACCTCTAGAAATTATTACCACAGATAAGAACATAGTGAATACAGATTTTTTTTTTAAGACAAGAGGGTTATAGCAATTAAGGAAAAGCTAATGGTTAAGGAAGACAGCTAATGGTTAAGGACCATCTGGAGAAGGTCCAGTGTAACAAAACAGGTGCCGCAGGGTAGAGAACCAGAGAGATGGATTGATGACATATTCAAAGACATGAGATTAAAAAGTACCTGAAGTGAATAAATATTGGGTCTGCAGATCAAAAGGACATACCTTCTTCCTGGGAAGTTTAACAGAGAACAGAAACGCCAAGGTAAATCCTAATTCAGCTGCTTAAAACATCGGTCTTCACACAGCCAAAGCAGATCATCTGCAAGAGGGGGTCCATCTCAGGTGGCCCACAGAGCACTCCACATAGCACTCAGGATCTGCAACAGGGAAACTGTAACAACTCTTGGGGGAGGAGGATTGACCTGTGAATATTATTTCCCTCCCAGTCACTGTTAGATTCTAAAGTCAACAACCTAAGTTCTCAGGTCTGAAGAGGTCCTGGGAAAGAACATCCCTGAGCTCTTCTTAGGGGAAACAAGAAGTTCATGGCTAATTAGCACTGAATCAAAAGAAAACACGCACACAGTGAGTGGAAGGGAAGTGAGAGGAAGGGAGAGTGAAGCCGTCCTCCTATTTCAGATCAGGAAGTTCGCTGTTGCTGTGTAAAAGTGAAACGTGTACATGTTTTAAAAAAATGCGTTGACTCCAAATACCTAAGTTTTTCCCCAGAGTCTCCCCTCCTCTCCTTAGAAAGAGCTCTGAGCAACGAACGACTCATAGTGAGGAAATACTGGACGTTCATCGGTTCCTTCAGTTGTGCTTCAGGTTTTTTTCCCTCTATTAAATCTGAGTAAATTTGATGAATTATTTTTGTTGCAGGAGGGAGGTGGTGTGTTCCCACCTTATGACCTAATGTCCATCCACCCCGCAGGTGTTTGCACCCACAGAAGAGCTCCTCACACCATGTCTATCTTCCCACGCACTCAGCAGCCTGTGCACGTAAACATAAATGGAGAGGCGTCTGCCACGATGTTAACCTGATGTTCATGGTGGTCATGGCTGCGGGGCAACTGGGGCCATTTTTAAATTTCCACCTTTTTATAGTTTTATCGCTTAAGTTCTCTACAGTGAGTAAGCATGATTACAGTATTTATAAAAACAAAAACATGATTTTTCAAAAGCTAAAAACATCAAAGGCAAATATTCTAAGATACTAACAGTGTTAATTGTGGACAATGGAACTAAGTATGTTTGCATTTTTCTTGTTTTGTTTTGGTTTTTCTGTGTGTGTGTGTGTGTGTGTGTGTGTGTGTGTGTGTGTGTGAAATGGGGTCTCACTCTGTTGCCCAGGCTAGAGTGCAGTGATATAATCACAGCTCACTACAACCTCTGCCTCCCCAAGGTCAGGCGATCCTCCTACCTCAGTCTTCTAAGTAGCTGAGACTACAGGTGCATGCCACCACACCCAGCTAATTTTTGTATTTTTAGTAGACACAGGGTTTCACCATATTGGTCAGGCTGGTCTCGAACTCCTGACCTCAGGTGATCCACACCTCCTAAAGTGTTGGGATTACAGGCATGAGCCACTGCACCCAGCTTTTTAAAAATGTTTTTCTGAGATACAGTCTCACTCTGGTGCCAAGGCTAGAGTGCAGTGGCACAATCACAGCTCACTACAGCCTCTGCCTCCCCAAGGTCAGGTGATCCTCCTACCTTGGCCTTCTGAGTAGCTGGGACTGCAGACATTTACCACCATGCCTGGCTACTTTTTGTATTCGTTGTAGAGATGACGTTTTGTTCTGTTGCCCAGGCTGGTCTTAAACTCTCAGCCTCAAGAGATCCACCCACCTCGGCCTCCCAAAGTGCCGGGGTAACAGGTGTGAGCCACTGGACCTGGCCTTGCATTTTTCTTTTAATTTTTAAAATGTTTACATTTCCAAAAATTAAAATGATAATAATAATAAGTGATAATAAATGATAAAAATAAGGAAAGCCTGTTTATTTAAAAAGAGCCATAAAGAGTGCTTTCCTCTTTCCCCTGCAAGATGCAGGAAACAAATCTCTACTGGCATATGACAGAGACAATCTCTCAACTGAAGTGCAACCATGGAGAAGAAAACTTCTAGGAGTCATATGCCGCTGCTATGACAGTTATGCAAATGCATTAAAGTCCCCATTCAAAGAAACTGGTATAAATAGATTAATTTATTAAATTCCCTTCTGGTTTTAATGTTGCATGCAAATACAAATGCAAAGGGAATTATGTGTAAAATTGTTGCTAAAAGACAGCAAAGAATAAGAAAAATAAATTTGCCATCAACCTCCCAAGGGTTGGTGAGAGATTCTCCAAACCCGAATCTCATAAAGCAACTGATTAAAAACACATACCAGACACTCCAGCATCTTCTTTCCAATTAGCTAAGCAAATCTATGAAACAAGGCAGGCAGAGCTCTGTGAACTAAGCCAGTCTGACTACTGTACATACATATATATATATAATTGTGGTGTTTTTTGTTTGTTTTGTTTTGTTTTTTTGAGATGGATTCTTGCTCTGTCACCCAGGCTGGAGTGCAGTGGCACAATCTCAGCTCACTGTAAGCTCCGCCCCCCAAGGTTGTGCCACTATTCTGCCTCAGCCTCCCAAGTAGCTGGGACTACAGACGCCCACCACCACGCTCGGCTAACTTTTTTGTATTTTTAGTAGAGACAGGGTTTCACTGTGTTAGCCAGGATGGTCTTGATCTCCTGACCTTGTGATTCGCCCGCCTCGGCCTCCCAAAGTGCTGGGATTATAGGCGTGAGCCACCACGCCCGGCCTCTGACGACCATATTTTAGTGCTCAAATCTGTTCCTCCACTCCTGCATCTGGGATTAGTTTGACTCATTTGGCCGATGAGACATTAGCAAATGTGGTGCAAGAAAAGGCTTGTTTGCATCGAGGCTTTCTCTCCTTTCTGCTGTGACCAAGCCCAGGCTGCCTGCCAGAGGCCAAGAGAGCACATGGAGGGAAGCCTCAGCCATCCCAAGCCCCATCATCCTACCTGAGGCCCCAGACATGTCCATGAGGCCACACTAGGCCAGCAACCACCAGAGCCAACCCACGAGGCTGTGAGCAACCACACAAGGGCTGTATTAAGTCACCGAGCTTCGGGCAGCCTGGACAATGACTCCTTCCTCGACCAAACCAGCCAGGCTCCTCTGACTCCTCTTCTCAACAAGGTCTCGCCCCCAGCCCTGCTCAAATTCCTCGTCCTCCGCCCTGAGGTGGAAGTCCCTGGCCTGCCTTAGCCAGACATCCCTCCTTGGTGCAATGGGTGTCATTTGACAGGCAACGGTGCAGGGTTCTGCTGTCATGGGAGCTCTGGCTGCTGTCCGTTTGTACATTCAGCCTCTTAGGCCCATGCTACTGGCCCCAAAACGACACTTTGAGTAGCAAGAGCCTGGGTTATAGAAGCGAGCGTCTCATTTGGACCATTCATTAACTCAGAGTGGGACTTGGAACCCACTGGGTTTCCACAAATGTCAACCATGTTTAGTGTGCCTTTATGGACACGCTGAAAATCTGAAATATCCTCCCCACGCCTTGAGGTAGATTGGCTACCACTGCATCTATCAAGAGGAAAACCTGAGCAAAAATGTGCTGTGGATTCCCATACCAGCAATAAAAATTAAAGAGCCAGAGATCCACGGTGGCTCAGCCATCCTTGGGGTCCTGCCAGGCCTTGGGGACATTGTTAGTCTTGTGTGTCCAGGACCCCAGCTGATATGGTTTGGCTCTGTGTCCTCACCCAAGCATCATCTTGAATTATAATCCTCACAATCCCACTTGTTGAGGGAAGGACTTGGTGGGAGGCGATGTGATCATGGGAGTGGATTCCCGCATGCTGTTCTCATGATAAGAAGTGAGTTCTCACTAGAGCTGATGGTTTTATAAGTGTTTGACAGCTTCTTCTTCATGTACTCTCTCTCTCCTGCTGTCTTGTGAAGAAGGCGGCTGCTTCCCCTTCCATCATGACTGTAAGTTTCCTGAGGCCTCCCCAGCCATGTAGAACTGTGAGTCAATTTAATCTCTTTTCTTTATAAATTACCCAGTCTCAGGGAAGTTCTTTATAGCAGTGTGGGAACAGACAAACGCCAGCCTTCTCCACCATGGAGCTGGGATCTGAGGGCTGTTCACCCGGGACCCCACCACCGGCGGAGTCTAGGCCAGCTGCCCCACTCTGAGCCCTGGATGTAGGAGTCAGTCCAGGGGTGAGGTGGGATCCAGGGGAGCCAACCAGAGTGACTCCTTTGGGGTTTTGTCACTGCACTGATGGAGAAAGCTCTAGAAAGTCTAGGAGATCAAGCTGGGAGGATGATAACATGGAAATGCAACCATGTTCTCCTCTCATGATTAAAGTCTCACTGCTAGGGAGAGATTGGGGCTGATGCTGAGAAAGAAGGTGTAGGGGAAAGGAGGCTGTAACCTGGGTCATCTGTCTCCTGTTCTTCACAATCCTGGAATTTTGATGGCAGAGGAGGATGGGAGGGGACATGGAGCCATGAGCCTCTGTTCTTCAAGGCTGTGTTCTTCAAGGGGCCTTTAAGAGGTGATTAGATTCTCTGGATCTGTCGGTTCTGGCACTTGCTCTGTAATTCAATGACCTCTCCAGCATCCTTCAAATTTGCCTCTTTCCATGGGAGCAGATTTTGTTGGCTTTTGGCCACTGGCACTTAGAGTTCTAATTAGTATCTACCCCTTCAGTCCTCAGGGTGCTCAGGACAGAGGAAGCCACCAGAACAGGCAATAAGAAAGAGTGGAGAGGACCTCTGTTACCTTAAAACCAGTCACAGACTCTGGACAGAAACCCTGCCCACCCCAGGCAAGATGCCAACTCCCTTCCTGGTCGTGATGTCACAGGTCCCTGGACATGACCTCCCCACAAGGGCAGGACCCTAGCTCCCTTCCTAGTCATGATGTCACAGGTCCTGACATTCCACAGTGTCCTGGAGACCAAGGGTGGGAAACTGCCAACCTTCAGGACGTCCTTCGCCTTCAGCTGGAGGGAGCATGGCAGTGAACCAGGGAGAAGGGACCCTCTGCTTTGTCCTCCTGCTGTGCTGCTGGCAAGAAACCGAGCTCCGGCCGAGAATTGCGACTCCAGGTAGGGCCCCGCAGGGATGGCTCAGCAGAAAGAGAACTGAACCAAGTGGGTGGCAGCCTCTTCTGCCATGGGTTCCACTTATTCCCAACCTACATGAATTTACCATTTATTCCTTGGGGAATGAATGTAGCTGAAAAGTCTTTCTATCTTTGAAGACCTTTTAAAATCTAGATGCCCATAGGAAAGTTGCATATGTTACTTATTTTAACTTTTTATTACGGAAAATTTCTAACTGGGAAGAATATCATGAATATCATGTAATCACCCTCAGGTTCAATTATTGTGCATATTTTGTTTTTTTCTACACACACACACACACACCCCACGCCACATGCACACACTTTTCTTGTTTGGGGAGTATTTTAGCAATGTCCCAGATGTCTTACCACCTCATGTAAAACATTTTCTTGTTAAGAGATGAAAGCATTATCCACCATGTCATAATCACACTAGCACAATTACCAAAAGCCTTTCTTGCAGCTCACACCAGTTAAAAAATATTTGTGATGCTTGTTAAAGATGGGCAGGCAGACTTTATTCAAAGGGGGCTACTACCATGGTGTGAGTAGGGAGTGGGCTCAACTCCAAATACAGGGAAAGTGGAGAATTGTAGCCAAGGGTCAGGGTGGGTCAGTGGATGAACATTGCTAAGAGGTAAGAGAATTCTTTGCTAAACTGATTTAGCAAAGGCCAGGAGGACTTTTATAAACAAAAATGAAGCATTTATATTTTTTGCCCTACCTGATTACTCTAAAATTTGGATATGATGATTTTCAGGACCATCTAATTGTTTGCATAAGTTTAATAAAAATTAATTCTCCTTACAACAGGACACAAAGGTCTGCTATCTTTGAAGACCTTTTAAAATCTAGATGTCCATGAGAGAGTTGCATATGTTACTTATATTAACATTTTATCATGGAAAATTTCTAACTTGGAAGAATATCATGAACCTCCATGTAGACACCCTCAGCTTCAATTATTGTGCATATTTTGTTTGGCCAAACAGGAGGCCAGGCCTGAAAGGAAGCCAAGATGATAAAATAATCAAAGATGGAGGGTGAGGAATTTGATCAGATATCAAGGCTGAGCAGGCCAAGACTAGGGGATTTCCACTAAAAGACTTCACAGGATTCCTACTAAACATGGGGAAAAGCAGACAAAGACAGAAGCTAGGATCAAAGCCAAGTCAAAGAGAAGACTCCGCAGAGTCTGGCATGAGGCAAGTCAAGGATCAAGACTGTCTCATTCCCTCCTCTTGTTCCAGAAAGAAGAGACATTCCTTTTCCCTTTGAACAAGATAAGTCCATTTTTCATCTAGTGGAGGATATTTGCTGGATGGTACAAGTAGTCAGGAATTTAATGAGGGGAATGTCTACGAAAAAGAGAAGAAAAACAAAGATTGATAGTTGGAAACGCAGTTCCCAAATCCAAAGGGCAGTCTGTTGAGAAGATTTCTGGATGTTGAGCTCAAGGTATCTTCAACCGATGGGGCAAGGATGGATTTCCTAGTTTGCAGGGGGCGTGTCCTTGGTGGCATCATGACCATCAGAGCCACAGTCATGGTTATGCTGGGGGCAGAGCGTGGATGTGTCCAGCTCAGCCTTTCCAGATGGTTCCACGGAAGGCCTGCGTTGTCAGACTTTAGTTCTCAGTAACACCCAGTCAGGAGGGCAGAAGAAAGACTGGAAATGTTAGCCTGGGGACATTGAAGGACTCTAGAAGACTTCAGGATCCAGTCCAGTTTACAGGTAGATAACAAAGTAGAAAGTAAGCTGGAGTTCATCAAAAGGTTAAAAAAAGTAGAATACACAGGGTTATAACTCACGAGGGTGTGCTACCACTTTTCATTAAAACATAAACTATGGCTCTATAGTCACCCCCTTTTTTTGATCCAGGTAACCAAAGTAACGCTATTCTTATCTCAAAACTATATCACATCTTACAAGAGTTGGTCTGGTTATTTACGTGAGTGCAGCAAGAATGGTAATGGACCACATAAATTGAGTTTTCTTCACTGGAGCTTTGTGCAAGGAATCTCAGATTAGATTTTTTAAAAGCTTTTTGAGGCTAGGAAGCCCGGCCAAAAACTCACCATCAGACTTCACATGTGGTACCTAAAGACTTGGGTGAATTTCTCTCTTCCAAAGGTCTCGAGGCTCCCAAAATTCTTGGATCTGCCAGAAAATGACCTTCTTCACTCACCTGTGGGATGGGGACTCTGTGAGCCAGGTAGCAGGTCAGTTTCTCCAACTCCGTCAAATCAACCTCAGTTTTTAAAAACTGTCCGGTCACATTTGATTCTATGTATCAATCTCAAGTATGACATTCCAGTCAAAGCCTTGGTAATATGACCAATGTTTCCAATCATGTCCTGTTTAAAGGAGAATCAGTTTATACTAAACTTATGCAAACAATTATATGGTCCTGAAAATCATAATATCCGAATTCTAGAGTGGGACAAAAAACATAAATGCTTTGTTTTTGTTTATGAAAGTGCAATGACCAAACTGTTGTCAGTTATACATAGCCTAAGAGAAACCACAAGCAGAGAGTTCTTTAAATCTGGAAAACAAAACATTAAAAAACCAGAAACATTTCAAAGGAAATTCAGAAAAATATAATTGTCCCCACATTAAGTCTCACATAATTAATTCTTGTTCTACTTGATCTTGGGTTAGCAGGTTTAAAAATCCGTCTGTTTCTCCCTCAGTTCTGGAAAAGTCTGGTCTAATGGTGCAATCTTAGAGGCATCAGAAACCTTACTTCAGAGTACTTGGCAGAGTCTTACCTAAAAATCTCCTTGAAGACAAAGAATTTTTGGATTGTAGCTGATTGCAAAAGCTTTCAAAAAAGCATCAGCGTAAAACAATAATTGTCTTGAAGGACAAAAGACATAAAATGCATAAAATGGCCATGGCTAAAAATCTGATGAGAGTTCATTATGCTGCAGTTGACAAGGAAATTTGGTTGTTTCTGTGACATACAACATTACAAGACAATAATGGAAATGATGACTCATAACTTCATACCAGGACATATCATGGACAGTAAGGACAGTGAAAATTTCTAGGAATTTTATACAATTTCTGAAACACTTCTAACATATACACATATAAACGTAATATAAAGAAGGTTAAACAACCCTTCTTATTTGACAATGCTTTTTATGAATTTACGTATCAAATAAAGCTAATTAGTTTAACATCTCTCTTTTCGCCAGTGAAAGAACAAATCCTGTGAGATTTTCTAGTGGCCCTCTGGGAAATCTCAAAATTAGTTTGAGGCCAAAATTCTTCATGTAGAATTTGACTTGGATGAAGTTGTCAAAAATTACAAAAGGTTTGAATATTTGGTTAAATAGGATCATAAGTTACTATGAAATGGTAGTTATCCATTTAAGTTAAATGACAATAAAGAATTTTTAAAGAAAATATAGGAAGTGGCATGGTTTTTAAAACAATTTAACTCTTTTACTATTGAGGAGACTCAGTTTTCTTAAGTAATCAAAAACATAATAAAGATAACATGAAACACAGGAAATATTTGATAAGACACAGAATCTTTGTTTCCTTTTAAGACTACTCAACAGGTAAGAAAAAAGTGCCTCTTACAATCTCTTGCTAAGAACAGAACAGGCCTGGCGCCGTGGCTCATGCCTGTAACCCCAGCACTTTGGGAGGCCAACACTGGCGGATAATCTGAGGTCAGTATTTCAAGACCAATCTGACCAACATGGTGAAACCTCATCTCTACAGAATTAGCCAGACATGGTGGTGCATGCCTCTAATCCCAGCGATTTGGGAGGCTGAGGCAGGAGAATCACTTGGACCCAGGAAGTGGAGGTTGCAGTGAGCCAAGATTGCGCCATTGCACTCCAGCCGAGGCAACAAGAGCAAACTCTCAAAAAAAAAAAAGACCAATAATTCAAGAAAACTTTGGCCTTTTAGCAGAGAAAGAAAATCAAACTCCAGTACTGCATCCCTCCGCTATTGATGCTAAAGCTCATCTATAACATCTTATCATAAAATTCATTTACTCTTAGTGTATCTTGACCACATAAGATGTTTCTCTCTCTCTTTTTTCTCAGAGACTCGTCACATCTTTCCATACTCATTTACGCATTTTGTCCGGTTTTTTCTCTTCCTGAAAAAACTACCTTTAAATCACTTTAGGACAAAATTACTCACCTTTTTCTTCAACAGAAACACATTCTTCATATCACATACGCTTTCTTCTCAAAAACAGATCCTACTTTCCTTTGTACTTTGCACAGGAAGTTGTTTTTCTTCACCCTCATTATTTCTAGTAGTTTTAATTACACATGTTGATTATGTTGATTTCAATGTTCAACAGAGAAAACTAGGAGTAGACAGTGGGGAATTGTCTGTCACATGTAGCATTCTGTAACAAAGTAGCAAATTGTATGACTATACCATCTTACAATTTTTAGAGATATATTTATCTACAGCATAATTTTTCAAGGCAGCAAAAACAACTTTTGTTAACAAACTCAAATACATTTAGTCTCTCTGTGCCGTATAAAATAAAAAGTCAAAAGTATATAAACTTGTGCTTGGTACTGAGCGTTTAAATAAGATAACCTTATTTAAAAATTATTCATGAAACTCTTGTTTTACTTAACTGATCATAACGCCAGGGTTATGAGTCGCCAAAAAGATGTTTAGAAACTGTTTTTGAAAGGCAAACACAGGCTGGGTGCAGTGGCTCACACCTCTAATCCCAGCACTTTGAGAGGTTAAGGCTGGTGGATCACTTGAGCCCAGGAATTTAAAACCAGCCTGGGAAACATGGTGAAACCCCATCTCTACAAAAAAAAAAAAAAATGCAGAAATTAGCAGGGCGTGCTGGCACGTGCCTTTAGTTCTGGCTACTTGGGAGGCTCAGATGGGAGGATTACCTGAGCCCAGGAGGTCGAGGCTGCAGTGAGCCATGATCACGCCCCTGCACTCCAGCCTGGCTGACAGAATGAGACCCTGTCCCCTCTCCAAAAAAAGCAGACACACTATTGTGTAACTTCCCAAGGGGTTTACCTGGCCCCTGCCCAGGCAGAGCCAATTCATCAAGACAGGGGAATTGCAATAGAGAAAGAGTAATCCACACAGAGCCAGCTGTGCGGGAGACCAGAGTTTCATTATCACTCAAATTAGTCTCCCCGAGCATTCGGGAAACAGAGTTTTTAAGAATAACTTGGTGGGTGGGGGGAAGCCAGTGAGCCAGGAGTGCTGACTGGTCAGGGATGAAATCATAAGGAGTCAAAGCTGTCTTCTTGTACTGAGTCAGTTCCTGGGCGGGGGCCACAAGATCAGATGAGCCACTTTATCCATCTGTGTGGAGCCATCAAGTGTAGGGTCTGCAAAATCTCTCAAGCACTGATCTTAGGAGCAGTTTAGGGAGGGTCAGAATCTTGTAGCCTCCAGCTGCATGACTCCTAAACTGTAATTTCTAATCTTATGGCTAATGTTAGTCTTACAAAGGCAATCTAGTCCCCAAGCAAGAAGGAGGTTTGCTTTGGGAAAGGGCTGTTACCGTCTTTATTTATACTATAAACTATAAACCTTCTCCCATAGTTAGTTCAGCCTATGCCCAGGAATAAACAAGGACAGCTTGGAGGTTAAAAGCAAGATGGAGCCTGTTAAATCTCTTTCACTGTCTCAGTCATAATTTTACAAAGGTGGTTTCACTACGACACCAAATAAAGCTACCATCATCTCCAGTTATTTCCCTGTTAACTATTTTTAAGTTTATTTGGCTAGTAACCCAAGCAGAATAAAATTTTGTCCTCATTATATCTATAGCTGAAAACTCCAAAGACATACTGTCTTTATTTAACAAACAATCTCAAACTAGCTTAATATCTCAACCATCCTAGTAAAGTAAACTTGAAAAACATTTGGGTTAGTTCTTCTGTTTCTGGGAGTCCTAGGAATATTTAATCAAGCACATCTTTTTTCTCTAAGCCAATTTGAATAGAACTCCTTCAAGGAATTTTATAATTACTTTGGCAGTACCATCCAGAGGTAGAAAAATATCACATATATGTAACATAGGTATGTACACATACAGACAGACACATGAAAACAGTGATTGCACGGCTTCATTCTTAAATTTTAGCCATGAGTCCGGAAACACAGTAACACAAAACTCACTGGTTTATTTCCACTCTATATTTTTATCTGAATTATGTTTCTGACAAAAACGGGATATGTTGAGGTTACCCACTCAATAAGGGCTAAAGATTTTTCTTTCTTAACCACCATTTGTGAAGGGGAGTCTCAAGCCTTTCTTTTCCGCTGATATTATTTAATCTTACAGAGGCTGTGACTGAGGCAGCCATCTGGAGTTGTCAAAGCCTTCACTGAGTAGGTAAAATGTCACATCTGCTTCCAGTTGGTCTTTTTCCTTCTCAGCCTCAGATCAGGTAGTTGATCTGGAGATGTCTGGGTCCATAAAGCTCCAGGGACTGTTGGGAGTCAAGCGGCTGAGTGGGAAGAGAAGGGTATAATGGGGGTGGGGGGAGGAGTGGAGGCCCAGGGGGACACATGCAAGGTGCAAAGGGGCTAAGAGAGATGGGATGGTGTGAGGAGAACTCGGGGGCAGAGACTACGGAGAGGGGAGAACTCCGGGAGCCAGTTTGGGGAGATCTGGGCCATGGCTACTCTGTATGGTCCTTGCAAAGTCATGGCAAAAAGGAGAGGAGCAGAGCCAGCACCACATTGGGGAGGGTCAGGAGGGTTTTAGAAGGGGTTTCAATAAACGGAAGAGCCATGCCCATGTGCAATTGAGCTCCATGCCTTTTCATGGGTTGCATGTTCAAAATATGGCAGTGGTCGCATGGTAGTGTTAGCATGACCCGAGAGCAGTGTTTTTGGCCCTGTTAGTCAGTTCTTGCACTGCTATAAAGACATACCTGAGACTGGGTAATTTATGAAGAAAAGAAGTTTAATTAGTTCACTATTCTGTGAACTGTACAGGCTTCTGCTTCTGGGGAGGTCTCTGGAAACTTACAATCACGGCAGAAGGCAAAGGGGAAGCAGGTGCATCTCACATGGCCAGCAGGAAGGAGAGAGTGGGGAGATGCTACACACTTGTAAACAATCAGATCTCAGGAGAACTCACTCACTATCATGAGAACAGCAAGGGGGACGTCAGCCCCCATGATTCAGTCAGCTCCCACCAGGCTCCTCCTCCAACACTGGGAATTACAGTTCAACCTCAGATTTGAGTGGGGACATAAATCCAAACCATATCAGCCTCTGACATCCAAAGGTGAAGCAGAGGACAGGAAACCCTCGTTGCGTGTCCAACATGGACTAGCCAGAGCCACTCCATGGTCAGTGGTCTCTCATCAGGAAGGAGTGCTGGGGGCACTGCACTGTGTAAACCACAAAAGGGAGAAGAGTCCAGTCACAGACTTGGATGATTGGCTCAAGGAGACAAAGGAATGGGTCCTTTGTTTCTTGTGTTCCAGAGCTGGCTGCTTCTTACTCCTTACGAAAGCATTCTGGTCACAATTGTGTCAGGAATGGGTAAGAGAGAAAAACGGTCGGAGTTTAGTCCTCACCTCCTAAGATCGGATTTCCTCATCCAGACAGTTGAAACAGGTGACCAAGGTCTTCCCCAGCTTGAAGACCAATTAAGGGATCATTTCTAAATCACTGGCTCATGGGGAACACTGGGCTTCCTTAGTCTCCATGGGCCTTAATGACTCAGTGGGCAGTTTAGGCGTTTGCCTCAGAAATTGAGTTGACCATGTTATGTGGCTTTCTTGAGACGTTGGACCTTGAGGGAGAGAGGAGAGCGGTCAATGTGGTCCTAGTGATGGAGAAGGGTGCAGTGCTGTTTTCCCCAAATTAACCAGAGTGAAATCTCAGAACTCCATAGGGAACCCTTTCACGGAGGCCAGCGTGTGCATGATGTAACTATCAAGAACAAGCAGGAGATTCTCACGATTCCATGGCATGCAGCACCTTAAAACCGTGAGGCTGAAGTCAGAGGTGACACAGGAAGAATATGGCAAAGCCACTCCACTTGACAATGCACTTTAAAAACCGCACGGATGTTATAAAACACAAATATTTTACTGCACATGCTTACTGGCTGACTTGCACAATACTTCCATTATAATTATGGGACAGACACAAAATGAAAAGAATATTTTTAACAAAGCACTTGCACGATGCAGCTGTACCCATTCTTAATGATCATTAATGTCTCATCCAAAGAGAACTGTACTTTGTTTGTTTCGTTTACCGAAGGTCAGCATACTGGGAAGCAATTGTCATCACATCTCAGACCTTTTTGCATATTTTCCCGCATTGTTCTGAGCCTGCATGTGCGCAGACGAGTCGATTGGTATGCAGATTGTCTGTCATTAAAGCCATTTGGAAATCAGCTTTGTCATTGGTTTAGTGTTGGAACTTCACATCCTAGAAGACACCACTGGAAAGCTCTGTGCACTCGGAAAGGGAAGGTGTGTGACCCTGCTGAGCCCAACCTCAGGGCTGGAGGAAGAGGCTGACCTTGACCTTGAGCCAAAGCAACATCCCAGGATGCTGAGACACCACACCTCCAATAAAGAAAAACCGTGAATGGCAGAAGCTGGGAACTATTGGGTGGGAGCTGCCAAGGAGAAAGCAGTGCTCAGAACCACCACCCACTGTCAAGGTCACTCAGCTCCCGTCAGTCAGGCAGCCGAGGCCACAGGTCAGGAGGCCATGGGGCCTGTGGACAACCCATATTCCAGACCTCAGAATTTCACCCACATGACTCCACCTCTTATCTGCAAATGGGACCACCCTGAAATTACTTTGTTTTTGAAGGAGGAGAAAGAGCACTGGCCCGTCTCTCTGAGTCCTGCCCTCCTAAAACAGAGCCACGAAGCCAGGGCTTCATGACAGAGCCACAGCATTACACACTGTTTTCCCATTTCCCCAGAACATGTTTCCAAGCCTCCAGGTGCATGCATTGCAGGAGCCTTTCACGAAGGAGGTCAAAGTGGTACTTTCACAAAAGGAGATGTGCCCTCTTACTCTGCTCACCTCAAAGCCGCTGGGTGAGCCTAGACATCCTTGGGACCCAGACGTTGTCTTGACCTCTCAAGGGGTTATTCCAGGGACCAGGAGGGCAGGCTCAGCTCAGAGCTCCTGGGCAATTGTCCTTCATCCTCACAGCCACCCCAGAGGTGGCTGTTTCTCCACATTTTCCAGACATGAAACCCAAGTCCCAGAGAACTTTCCTGGGGCCATCTCTCATCGCCCGCAGAAGAGACTGGGACTTGGGCAGGACTCCTTCCTCTAGCGGGGGCTGGTGGGCACCCAAAAAACCATGTCCATTTAAAGAGAAAAAAATGCAAATTCAATGAACGTTGTTAAACTATAGGGCTTTTATTTCCTCCTAGGTTCAACTACTGAAATACCATTCAGTTCAAAACATGAGGATGTGCCTGAATTATTAGGTAAGGGAGCCCCTCCTATCAACCTCTGTCCTGTACGTGAAGGGGGCTGGATGGTTGTCTGTGGCTGTTTCCCAGATAACCTGGTACAAGTTGCAGACAGTGGAGGGAACGGATTGGTTTGAGGCTAGAATCACATTCCCATGGCCCATAGATTTAGTGCTGACATCTAAGAGTCAAACTCTCAAGAAAACAAGGCAGACAGAATTTTAGACCATTACACCTAAAAAGTGCCTGGGAGTCTTGCTTCTCAAAGTGAGGTCCAAGGACCCGCAGCATCTGCATCACCTGGGAGCTTGTTAGAAATGCCCAGCGGCAAGCCGGGTCCAGCCCTCCGGCACCAGCGCCACATTCAACCTGATGCCGTTGATTCCTTGCAACTGAGAGGCCCCGTGGCTGAGCCGTCCCCTCCTCCAGCCCCCTGGGAAGATGGTAGAAACCACGGACCGCCTGGCCTCACCCCGGGGATGCAGACCGTGCTGGTTTGGCTGGGCCTGGTGCCTCTGTGCTTCTCTAGAGCTCTGCAGGTGATGCTAAAATACAGCTGGCTGAGAACCGCTGGCCTGGGCCAGGGCCATCCAATAGAAACACAGCACAAGCCGCAGTTATTGTTTTCATTGTCTAGTGGCCACATTAAAAAGACATAGATGAGCCCAAAGCAGGCAGATCACGAGGTTAAGAGATGGAGACCCTCCTGGTCAACATGGTGAAACCCCGTCTCTACTGAAAATACAAAAATTAGCTGGGCGTGGTGATGTGTGCCTGTAATCTCAGCTACTTGAGAGGCTGAGGCAGGAGAATCTCTTGAACCCGGGAGGCAGAGGTTGCAGTGAGCCAAGATTGCGGCATTGCACTCCCACCTGGCCACAGAGTGAGACTCTGTCTCAAAAAAAAAAAAGACACAGATGAAACTCACTGTAATAACATTTTATTTCGTGTGATGATTTCAACATGTGATCAGTGTAAAATCATTACTGAGATGCTTCAGTCTTTCCATCACGCTGGATCTCCACAGTTTGATGTGTCCTTTGCACTTCACGGCCATTTCCGTGTGGACAGCCACACTCCAGTGTGTGAACGTGTGGCCAGTGCCCGCAGTTCTGCTCTGACCTCTCATTTTACATGTGGGGAAACTGAGGCCTAGAGCGCTGGGACTCAGAGCACGCAGTCCTGACCCCCACTCACATCGATGCCCTTGGGAAGCAGTCAGCTTCCAGGACCTCTCTGCCAGTGTCACCTGTGCAGTGGGGTCAGGAGTAGGGGCTGGGGGCCACCTTCCACCCGGCAGGGCCTGGGACTGCGGCTGCGGAGGCTGCACGGCCTCGAACAGGGGCTCCCGTGGGAAGGCAGGGGCCCCCAGGTGCTGGGCCCCTTTCCAGGAGCTGCTGCTGTCAGAAGTCAGGCTTTGCTCCATTTCCACGTCTGGGTGGGAGAGTCTGGGAAAAGCTCTGCCTGCAGCGTTCTGATGGGTTACGTGGATGGATGAGTGAGTGCCCCTGTGAATGAATAGACGTTCCCATTCTCGCTTCTGCCTCCCTGTCCGCTTTCCGGGTACTCAGTGGAACTGCCCCAGGTGGGAGTTAGGCTCCCCAAGGTCAAGGAATGGCTGTGACTGGACTCACTTTCCTGGTGAATCTGGCGGTTGCCAGATTCTGAGTTTTCGTCCTGAGACCAGCACCTGCTCCAGCCAGTGGCTCAGTCACCACCGACGAAACAGCGGCCTCAGGAAAGGACTCAGGAAGAGGAAAGACTGGTTGGAGTTTCTGATCGTTTTCCTGGGTCCTGACCAACTAAACCTAGAAAGAGGCGGCAGCTCCTACCCCCATCCGTACCCCCAAATTTCCTCTAGGTAGAAAGCTGAAAGCGTTGACAGTGAGAATTCAAATCCCCGTGGAGGTCAGCAAAGCCCACCCAGGCACGCCAGGCCCAGACTGCCTGTCCAGAGCTTGCCCCGGCAGAGGAGTCGCCACCATCACGTGCAATTTCAGAGCCTCCGAGTCAGGCAGGGGATGGGGCCTCACTAGGGCAAGAGAAGCCCAGATCCCAGGCAGGCTTTGGCCAGGGGCGCTCGGGGCGGCTCATCAGACAGGCAGCGGGTGTTGGTGAGGGAGCGTGTGTGGATTTCTCTGGTTGGCTCTGAGTTAGAAGTGAGGACAAAAGCCAGAGGAGCTGTCGGTGATGAATGCACTCCTGGCCCTCTGGAGCTGGCTGGCACAGGGGTTGCGGTTTGGCTGCCTGAGTTATTGCTAGAGGAGCTCTGACTTCCTTCAAGTTTGACTGTGGAGGAGGCCAGCCCCCTGGACTGGCTGCTGCAGATGTGGTTGGCTCTGTTTTTGTTTTTGTTTTTTGTTTTTTTTTATTTTTTGAGATGGAGTCTCACACTTTCGTCGCCCAGGCTGAAGTGCAGTGGCGAGATCTCGGCTCACTGCAACCTCCACCTTCTGGGTTCAAGCGATTCTCCTGCCTCAGCCTCCAGAGTAGCTGCGATTACAGGTGTGCGCCACCTCACCCAGCTAATTCTTGCATTTTTAGTAGAGACGGGGTTTCACCATATTGACCAGGCTGGTCTCGAACTCCTAACCTCAGGTGATCCGCCCACCTCGGCCTCCCAGAGCACTGGGATTATGGGAGTGAGCAACTGCGCCCAGCCTGGTCAGCTCTGTTTTGATGGAAGGTCTGGTCATTGTATTTCAGCTTCTCCTCTCAAAAAATTCAACCATCAGCAGTTAGACGTGGTTTTAAAACAAAGAGCTTTCTAACCTTGTTCCACCTGCTGGCTTAATCTCTACCTAAAGCATTTTTCTATCCCTGACCAATCTCCCCGTGGGTGGGGAGGCCTGTGGAAGGGTCCAGGCAGCCTTTGGCCACGGGCAGCTCACCGTGAGGCAGCTCGGCCCCCCACCTCTCTTTGGCCCCCAAAGCTATGACTGCTCTCCCTGCAGAAGCACGCCTCCCCACAGCTGGGCCTCCATCCACCCACCTCAGGGAATCCCAGGGTGTCTGCAGCTTGAGGAGTTTGAGTCCCCAAAAGGAGGCCACTCCCGGCTTCGGGCATGGAATGGACTGGGTCACACTGGGCCAGGTCAGGGACTGTGGGTGCAGTTGTTAGAGATGGAGAGTTGCAGAGACAGCCCATCTGCCATGGACAGGAGTGACTCCCAGTAACGACGGGGTAACTGAAGCCAAGGTCAGCCCAGAAGTTCAGACAGTGCCCCAGGAGGGCCCACTTCTTGGGCTGGTCAGCTGAATCCCATCCTCTGCCTGCCCCCATATACCCTGAGAACCCATCTGCCCTGGGGGCCCATCTGCCCTTGGTGGATGCTGCTGACCTGCTGTACCTGGTCACGGCTGTAGAATGCTGCCTCCTGGACATGGCTGGCTGGAGTGGGACAGAGACCAGGGACCGAGGCTGGGCCATCCTTGGCCCCCCAGCACCTGGGCAGTGTCTGGTTCAGATGAGTGCCCAGTAAATGCTTGCCATTCAAATGCATATCCACTCTTCTCCAAGACCCCTATCTCACTGGACACCATGACTGTTTAGGAACTGGAGTTCCTAAGATCGGTGCTTCTGTCCAATCACTGGCCCCAGCGGACAGAGCCTGAGTGGTAGCACCCAACCCCCTGGCTGGGATCTTGGAGCACCCGAAGCTAAGAGGGAGGTGGCGCCGCCTCTGGTCTGGCAGTTCCACAACACGAGGGCATGTCCCTGAGGTTGTCCTGGCCTCTCCTCAAGCTCATGCCTCATGATCAAGGATGGTGTCCACAGTGCCAGATACCTCGTCCACTCCCAGGGCAGGAGGTGGGGGTGCAGGCCTGGACACTGGTTCCCCTTTTATCAGGAGGAGCAAATTCCTCACAGAGCTGGTGGACTCTTGCCGACCTTACAGGGCTGTAGCCCACCCGGCTGCAGGGGCCTCACTGGGGGCACACATTGCCAAAACCCAGCGCTGTGAGCGAGGCAGAGGGAGAGTGCGGCTGCTGGACGAGACACCGAGAGCCCAGGACGAAGCATTTTTCTCAGGCGTGTTGGTGGCATCTTCATTTCCAGTGGCATTTTCAGCCTCTTCCCCTTTATCCTCGCATTCCGCATGAGCTGGTCCTGGGGTGACCAGACACCCGCTTTGCCTGGGACTGAGGAGCTCCTCATTGAGGGACTTTCTGTGCTAAACCCGGAGGGCCCGGCAAACCAGGACCCACTGCCCAGGCCAGCACTGCAGCCTGGCCTGGCGACTATGCTGCAGAGACAGCGGTGATTGTCAGGTGCTGCAACACCTGGCCATGGCCCAGGCTTCGTGCTGAGCGCCTCCTGCATACACTGCTTTACTGGACCCTCAGAAAAGCCCACAGGCAAATACAAACCCCTGTTTTACAGACAGAAAACCGAAGGTCAGAGCCGTGAGGACGCTTGTCCAAGATCACATTCTGGTGGGAGCAGAGCCCGTGTGATTTTTCTGGGTCTGTCAGACACAAAGCTCAGGGCTCTCATGGTAAAAGCTCCCCAGGAGGACTCATAGGGACGTAAAAGAAGAAAATGAGGCCGCGTTGACGCAGAGATCAGGAGCGACGTTCGCTCACACGTGGAGGGCAGCTTCGGGAGAGCCTCAGGGATGGGACAGAGGGACCCAGGGCAGGAAGGAGACTTAGGACCACATGTGGGCCAAGCGTCCAGCCTTGTACCTTTGGGGGGCAATGTTCAGTGTCCAAAACGTCCTAACAGTCTCAGTTTTTCTGAAATGATTGAGGGAGGCAGCGGCCTGCCCACCCAGGGAAGGTTCTTTCCAAAGCCAAGTCCCACATCCCCTGGGGTCCCGGAGTTCCTGTTTCCCATTCACTGTGTGCACAGATGGCCTTAGGGGACAGGAGCACAAGGGCCAGCCCTGCAGGGCCAGCTCTAACGTGCTCTTGTGTGCTTCTCCCAAGATGAAATTCTAGTCCAGGAGATTTTGGACATGAATAAAACAACATGGACTGAAATGCCAAGCACAGCATCGACATTGTCAACAATACGTAAGGAAAACCGTGAGCACACCCCTTTCTAACCCGCTAATCGCACTGATTCCTGGAGCTCTGTGCTATTGAATACATGACCTACTATTTGAGCATTAAGACCAGCTATTTCCGGGGCAAGGGCACATGGAGATGTGAACAATATGGTGTCTAAAACCATTTCTACAGCTTCCCGAGACAGAGGAAGTCAACCCTAGACTGGCAGAGATAATTCCCTTTACTCTGGGATCTCTGGAGTGCAGGTTCAGGCACGTTCTCGCCCTTGGGAGCCACTGCAGAAACGCAGGGCACAGGAACATGAGAACCCTGCACTAACCAGCAGTTTCCAGTTCCTCCCACACACGCCCACACTCTCACTTCACGCTCACCTAAGGCTTCTGAGAGAGCAGGGCAGTTATCATTACCCCATTTGACAGAAGGTAAAACCAAGGTGTAGCAAATGACTTGCCCAAGGCCACACAATGAGTCATGAACAAACACAAAGAATGTGCCTTCACATGGGCAAAGACATATGCAAGTAAATAGAACACCACGTTTAGAACCAAGACAGAGTACTGAATCCACAGTTGCCAAGGAGAGAACTGGGAATCAGAAATCCCCACACAGTGCATGCAAATGTATTCAGCAGCAGGAAAGTTCAGCCCTCTCTTGAAATCTTGCGTCCAGATGTAAATTCCAGTTCCTAGGATTGGTTCACCTGCCATCTGCCAAGGTCCACACTGCTGGTTCAAGGGAGTCAGAGGACACCTGACTCTGTTTACACATTCACTTGCCAACGCACATGTCCAAATAGAGCTTGCAAATCATATTAGCATCCCATCCCTACATTTTAAAATAAAGCATGGGCCAAAAATGTTTATACCTGTGTAATCACGAAAACTTTTCCCCATTTTTTTCCATGTTCTTCATTGAAGATGCTGGTATTGATGAGAATTATCAAGCTGGTGGTTCTGAGAATTATCATGAATTATTAGAGAATTTACAATTCTCTTCTGCCACTGAAGACAAAGTTTCCAGTGATGGTAAATGCAACCCAGCAATTACCCCTTCCCAAGTCCAGCTATAACGGGAGAGGTAGAAGGCAGGCAGACACAGGCGGAAACATCTCCTTCATGGAGGATAAACCCTTGGTGGGAGAATGTGCCTGCTTCCCCCGGTTGGGCAGATCTCCCAGTCTCTGTCGGGACTGAGAGACCCCCAGTTTCCCCACCCGCTGCTGTGGGGCCGACCCTGGAAAAACCACAGCCCAGGGAAGCACAGCAGAAATGTCTCATGGGCAGGCAGATGCCAAGACAGGGAGGTAGGTGCTGCCACAATACCTGGCCCCCTCTCCCAAAGCTTCAGCTAAGTTACTTCTCCTTCCCAGGGCAGGTGCAGGGAGAGCCAGAGTGCCCCCAGAGGGTTCCCCCAGAAGTAGGGAAAAGCCTCCCTCCAACAGATGAGTCTGCTGGGAAAAAATCAGTGTGCAAAAGCTAAGAGGATAAGACTCTTGGATGCCACGGAGGGACAAAATACCTCCTCTTTACCCTGGAGATTCAAAACCAGAAAAGGCATATGTATATACCCAGGTGTATGAGTCCATTCTCACACTGCTATAACGAACTACCCGAGGCTGAGTAATTTATAAAGAAAAGAGGTTTAATTGGTTCATGGTTCTGCAGGCTGTGCATGAGGCGTGGCTGGGAGCCCTCAGGAAACTTACAATCATGGCAGAAGAGCATAGGGGAAGCAAGCACATCTTCACATGGAGACAAGAGAGAGTGAAGGGGGAGGTGCTACACACTTATAAACAACCAGACCTCGTGAGAACTCACTATCATGAGAACAGCAAGGAGGAACTCTGCCCCCACGATCCAATCATCTCCCACCAGGTCCCTCTCCCAACACTGGGGATTACATTTAGACATGAGATTTGGTTGGGGACACAGAGCCAAACCATACCATCAGGACACACACGTAGGACATCTGTGCTGTTCCCCACATACAGGACCAGGTCATAGCTCCAGTATCTGATGGTGTGCCAGGAGCCAAGCATTTCCGTAGGGGCCCAGGAATCTGCATCCCAATCCATTACCCCAAACAGTCCTCCCAATAAGACAGACTCTGGAGTTGGGAAGGATTGAACTAGATTTTTTCAGGTCTTAAACAAGATTTTATTTAAAATTAACATGAATCCTTCCGAATTTGTCTGCCTGATGGTCAGTCTGGCAAGTTTCTCTTTCTGCCATTGCTTCTCCATTTATTAATTGGGATTCTACCTTAAGAAAGAGCTGCCCCTCCTCCCCTGTTTGTTTATGTATTCAGTTGCTTATTACTGTCTACATGGGCTCCTAGGGATTTACTATAGTCTGTGGGTTATAAAACACTAACACCGTTACTGATTGTGAGCCAAGAACTGTGTGCTTGTTAAGTTCAATGGCACAGCGTTGCTTCCAGGCCCTCTCCACAGACAGAGCTAGGAAACACATTCGTGCAAATCATGGATCCGTGCAAATCCTCCTTTCCTGCCCACCCTCCTTTCTTCCTACCCCAGTTCTGCAGCCATTATCTTTTGTATGGTCTTTTCCATTGTTTGCAATATCTTGCCATTTCAAACACAGCTGCAAGCTTGCAGCACAGGTATTTTCATATTCTCGGGAATTATCTCCAGGGTCAGTTCTTAGCATTGATCCTGCTAAGATGTTGGGTCAAAGGACGTGTGGAGGAGTGAATATGCAGTTTTAAAAGTCAGATGAGGCCGGGCACGGTGGCTCAAGCCTGTAATACCAGCACTTTGGGAGGCCGAGACGGGCGGATCACAAGGTCAGGATATCGAGACCATCCTGGCTAACACGGTGAAACCCCGTCTCTACTAAAAAAATACAAAAAACTAGCCAGGCGAGGTGGCAGGCGCCTGTAGTCTCAGCTACTCGGGAGGCTGAGGCAGGAGAATGGCATGAACCCAGGAGGCAGAGCTTGCAGTGAGCCGAGATCCGGCCGCTGCACTCCAGCCTGGGCGACAGAGAGAGACTCCGTCTCAAAAAAAAAAAAAAAGGTCAGATGAGGCCTGGCTCTGTATTCACATATTGAGTTTCCAAAACATATTTTCAAATAAAACTTGAAAATGATATTAGCATTTCAACTTAGCATTTTTAAATAAATGACCAAAATGCTTGTAAGTGTGTAATCAAGAACATTTTTCCCGTTTTTTCCATATTTGTCATTAAAGAAGCCAGTGCTAATGCGAATCTCCACAGCGATCCTTCTGAGAATTACAGTGGGCCACAGGTGTCTCCTGGCAGTGAGAAGACAGTTTCCAGTAAAGGTAAATGTGCCTTGCCCACACTGAGAGCTCTATGGGAGAGATGGAGGCACGAGTGTGTGAGGTGACCCTCTCCCTCCTGCCTCACCATGATGCCTGTCACACCATTAGGTTTCCACCAGCATCATGGTGAGAAGGGGTATTTCAGTATTGCTTTTGTTTGCAATTGTCGCATCATGAGTGAGTTTAAACATCTCATATGTTTAAGGGCCATTTCTATATCACTTTTGTAAATGTTGCTTTCATTACAATTTCCCATTTTCCTTTAGGTTTTTGGTTTTTAGCCCCATTTTCTCAAAACTGTTTATATTTTAAAAACAAACTTTGAGATATAGATAGGTAGATGATAGAGATAGATAGATAGATAGATAGATAGATAGATAGATGATATATAGATAGAAAATTGTTGGGGTTTGTTAATTGACTTTTGACTGAGTTTATAATTTTTCATGTAAAAAAATGTCAATTTTTGTGTAGCCAAAATTATCAATCTCTGGCCGCCTTTAGCTTTGACTTTCTGAGTTAGAAAGTCTTTTTCCACACTGAGTCTAAAGAGGAATTTGCTTTCCTCCAGTATTTATAGGACTTCATCTGCTACGTTAGCTCTTGGATCCATTTGGAGTTTACCTCTGAGCATGGTGTGAGGTGTTCTTAATTTTATCTTTTTACGAATGGCTACCCAGTTATCCCTGAACCATTTTTTAAAAGTCCATCTTTGTCCCATGATTTGCAAAGCCACACGTATTATACACTGAGTTTTTCTGTGTGTGACTGTCCTTATCTGGGCCATACAGCACAGTCCTCTACTAAAGGGCCAGCACCAAAGTGTGTTATTCAGAGTGTATTTTAACCTCTGGGACACATGTCCCTCTTTTAGTTCTTTTTAGCTTTTCTTTTTCCATGTTGCCCTGATTATATTTTTGGTAATATGTCTAATTTCCTTTCCCTGCGTTTATATTTTTATTGGGATTGCATTACATTTGTAAAGGAATTTAGAAAATAACTGCAACTTCTACAATGTTGAGTGGATCTATCTAAGAATAAGTAATGTCTTTCCATTTGTTCAATGTCATTTCCTATCTTTCAGGAATATTTTTAAGTCTTCCTTGCATAGGTGTTATACTCTCATATAAGCTTATTCCTAAGTATTCAGTTTACCGTCTTGCTATTAGAAGCAAGATTTTATCTATCATTGTGTACTTTAACTGGTCTTTTATATGAATGCTTTGATTTCTATAGGTTAATTTTGTCCTGCTATCTTACTGAATTATTTTCTTGTTTGAGTTAGCTTTATCACTGATTATTTAGGGTTTTCCAGATATGCCATATTATCTGATAAATAGAAATGGTTTTCTTCTTCTCTACCAATTTTTATGCATCTCTTTGATGTCTCTTGGCTAATTGCATTGACTGATATATCCAGGATAATGTTTAATAGTAATGGAGTGAGTGGGCATTCTTACCTTGTTCACGGCCTTGATAGAAATGCCTATAGTGTTTATCCAGTAAGTTTCATACCTTCGGATAATTTCTTGTTGCACATTAGCACCCTTTTCTTTCAGATTGAAGACTTTTTTCAGTCTTTCTTGTAAGACAGTTCTGGTGGGTATGAATTTTCTCTGCTTTTGTTTGTCTGGGAAAGTATTTCTTTTTCAGGTTTGAAGGATAGCTTTGCTGAGTAGAGCATTCTTGGTTGGAAGAGTTTTTTGTTTTTTTTTTTTCCTTTAGCACTTTAAATATGTCATCCAACTCCCTCCTGGCCTATAAAGTTTCCACTGAGAAGTCTTCTGCCAGATGTATCAGAGCCTTTTTAGATGTTATTTGATTATTTTATCTTGCTTCTTTTATAATCCTTTCTTTGTCATTTATACTTGAGAGCTTGATTATTTGATAAATTGGGGTAGTTTTACTTGGGTTGGATATTCCTGGTGATCTTTGATCTTCTTGTACCTTAGTATTCTTATCTTTCTCTAGGTTTGGAAAGGTTTCTGTAATTACTTCTTTGAATAAACTTTCTACTCCTATCTTTGTCTCTACTCCTTCTTTAAGGCCACGACTCCTTAGATTTGCCCTTTCTTGATTTCATAAGTGTTCTGCATTCTTTTTTATTTTCCCCTCTGACTGTATATTTTTAAATGGCCTAAGTATTAGTCCCTTTTGTGTTCCCATAAAGGGACACCTGAGGCTGGTATCCTGAGGCAGTTCTCCTGCCTCAGCCTCCCAAGTATATGGGATTACAGGCACATGCCACCATGCCCAGATAATTTTTGTATTTTTAGTGGAAATGGGGTTTCATCATGTTGGCCAGGCTGGTCTCGAACTCCTGACGTCAAGTGATCTGCCCATCTTGGCTTCCCAAAGTGCTGGGATTACAGGTGTGAGCCACGACACCCAACCTTTTCTGTCTCTTATTGAAGTTTTCCTCAAAATAGCTATATTTTTGTAGAATCCTCGGTCTTAAAGTCACACATCTTCGTATCTCTGGGGTTGGCTAACGGTGCCTTGTTTCATCTATTTGACAGAGTCGTATTTTTCTGAATGTTCTTAATGCTTCTGAATGTTCATTGGTGCCTGGGCATTGAAAAGTTAGATATTTATTCCAGTCATCACATGGGCTTTGTTTGTACCCATCCTTCAGAGGACCTTTCATTGATTCAAAGGATACTGACTGACTGTTGAGTTCCTTAAGCCTGTGGTCACTGCAGCCATTTTTGTACTATAGAGCATCCTAAGTCCAGTTACACTGCAAGTCTCTTGCAACCTCCTAGATACCCAGCTCTGATGCAGTTGGGGAAAATCAGGGAGAATTCTCTGGGCTCTCAAAGTCCCTCACTCACTTCCCTCCATTTCCCCATAGAGACGGAGTCTCTCTCCACACTGAGCTGGCTGGAGTTGGAAAAGGAGTGATACAAGCACTCTCATGGCCGCCACAGCTGGCATTATGCTGGGTCCCACCCAAAGTCCCACAGCTGCCCAGACAAGCACAGCACCAGAGCTCATCCAAGGCCTGCAGCTGCTACTGCCTTACTGCCATTGATGTTTATTCGAGGCTCCAGGTCACTTTAGTCAGCCAGTGGTGAAGCCAGTCAGGACTCAGGACCATCATACCAGAGTGGTATTACGGTCTTCCAGCCTTGGGTCGGCCTAGAAATGTTGTCTGGCAGAATAGCCTGGAATCAGGATCTTTTGGGTTCTTCCCAGCGTGGTTTTTCTGTGGCAGGGTTTGTGCTAGGTTCCAGTGCAAAGGACCCTGTACTCTTTTCTCTCCTTCTCCCGAGAAGGAGTCTCTCTCTAAGGTACGGTGCCTAGAGTTGAGAGAGTTGTGATGTGGGCACTCCTATGGCCCCTGCATCTGGTGTTAAATTGGGTTGCATCCCAAGCCTTCTGCCTCCCAGACCAGTGCAGCACCACAGGGTTCACCGAAGGACTGTGGTCACTATAGCCCTGCTGGCACTGAAATTTATTTGGGACCTATGGCCACTTTAGCTAGCCAGTGGTGAAGCAGGGCAGGACTCAGGTTCATCCTGCAGGGCAGTGATTCTCCTCTGGCCTGGGGTGGGTCTAAATAGTCCCTCTGTGGGCACTGGCCTGGAATCAAGGACCACAGAATTCTGCCAGGTGCTGTGTTCCACTGTGGTGAGGCCAGCATTGAGCTACAATGCAAGGTCCCACACTTACTTCCCTCCCTCCCTGAAGCACACTTTCTCTCTCTGCACTGTGCTGCTTGGTATTGGGGCAGGGTGGTGTAGGCAATACTACACTGTCCTTCCTACCTTCTTCAATGTGTCTTTTCTTGTTATTATGCTAAAACTAGGTACTATGATCACTCATCTGATTTTTCAGTTCTTGTAAAGGTGCTTTCTTGCATGCATGCATAGTTGTTCAATTTTATGTTCCTACAGGGTCAGTCGCTGGAGGGTAATATTTAGCTATCTTGCTTCACTTTCTGGATTGTTTGTTGTTGTTGTTGTTGTTGTTGTTGTTACAGACTGTCACTGTCACCTGGGCTGCAGTGCAGTGGCATGATCTCGGCTCACCGCAACCTATACCTCCTGGGTTCAGGAGATTCCCCTGCCTCAGCCTCCCAAGTAGCTGGGATTATAGGCACCTGCCACCACGCCTGGCTAATTTTTGTGTTTTTAGTAGAGACTGGGTTTCACCATGTTGGCCAGGCTGGTCTTGAACTCTTGACATCAAGGGATCCACCTGCCTCGGCCTCTCAGAGTGCTGGGATTACAGGCATGAGCCACCATGCCCAGCCCCTGGTTTATCAGTTTTTAATGGTGTACTTGAACTATTAATCATTGCCTAATTGATTCAATTAGGCATCAACATCAATGAGTTTCTATTTTCCTCTTCATCTCCCTTATCACCTCCCATAGTTTTATCACTTCTATTTTGTCAATACATATAGCATTTGCATATTAGTTTTCCAGTCTCATCTATGTTTCAATCATTTACATATATGATTATAAGTTGTGTGTGTGTTTGTGTGTGTATCCACCTTCACCATCACTTGTTCTCATTGAGGTTGTTCAGGTAACTTTTGGTTTGATGAAGTTCATCCTGTAGCAGATTACCGAAGAATGTGCTATGGACAAATCTTTAGACTCTTGTATGTTTAAATTGATGTTTGACAGACACTTAGATGGATATAAAATCCTTGGTTTACACTTTGTTTTTTCATTGAGTTGATAGAGAATGCTGCTTCATTGTTGCCTTGCTTTTTTGGTTGTTTTATCTTCGAAATCTAATGTTTTTACTAGGATACATCTTGGTATTAATTTTCCCAGATACAAAATGGATCCTTTCAAAATTAGACTCACCTATTATTTTTCTATAAAGTTATCTTAATTATAACTTTAAATATTAGTTCTATACCATAGTTAATGCTGCTGTTTTCTTCAATTACACCAATTATACAGATGTTATTTCTTCTTTGCCTCTATTATACTTTTGCTATTATTTCCTCATTCATGTTTTACTTATCTCTTTATTTCATTACATTTTCTTGTTTTTCTGCCTTACTTTTCTACCTTTTATTCAGTTTTCATTTAAGTTATATCAGTATAGAAAAATACTGATTCTTAGTGAATATTTTGATTGCTTTGGTACAAGAAAAATAAGTGTATCCTCTGAATTTTTTGGTTTTTTATCATCTCACAGGACCATACATGTTCCCCTTTTGCTACTTTTGTCTTTTGTCCTTCAATTTCTAAAGGCAGCCTACTCCTTTTTTTTTCTTTTTCTTTTTTTTGGGGGGGGGGGTCTTTTTCTCTTTCTCAGGTGTTATGTATTTTGAAGACTGATACATAAAATTCACATGTGCTTTTTAAGTTCCTTCTCTGTAGACCTTTCTCTGATCTACCAGAACCCATATTTAGTATTTTCAGTCTTACAGTGGACTTGCTTATTCTGATAGAGTTATCAGATCAATGTTAGGCTTTTTCTAACTCACTTTTCTCACTGTTTTATCTCAACCTGCCATTGGTCATCAATAAATGTTGCATGGAGTGGATGTAGGGCAGGAGCAAAGATTCTTCACTGTAACTTTGAAATTTTTAATTTTTATTTTTTACTTACTGTTATTTTGATACTTGAGTATCTTATAGTTAGGTTATGCCTGAATGTCTAGTTTTGTGTAATCTTATTTTTCTTTCCTGTTTTTCTGTGTCATTTTTTGAGGAAATATTGGGAGACACAGGCCTAGGCAGCTGCCATAGTCTTTAGTCACATGGAAATCAAATCAAAGGACTTAGAAGATTCAATTTACTTATTTGTGTTTGCCAATGTTGAAAACTATATAAGTTGAAAATCTTTACAAATTCTAGATAAAACATAATAAACATTTTTAAATGTCTATTATGATCTGACAGCAAAGTAAAGGAAATCTTCAGGGCTAGAAAACCAAGAGAGAATTAAAATCCAGAGCAGTAAGTTACAGATCTAATTGCAGAACAATCCTCAACTATGATTTTCCTTTATGAAATATAGAAATTTGGCTGTTAGAGTTTATTTGCAGAAGATGAGGCCTAGGGAAGAAAAGTGTTGCAAATTAAATCCCTGAATAATGCTATGACTGCTAACAAGACTACACCCTCAGTAAAAGGATAGTGTAGATAAAAAACCATCTACCAGCACAGGGAAATGGAAATCCGTCTGTGTCAGCCTGCACCACATGGGGACTTCAAGTTCTGTGTATTCTGGAATAGCTCATCTGTGAAACCAGCATGACAGGAAGTCTCATGTGGTTACACCCCGGGTCAGAGGGCACTTGGTGGAAGCAAATACACACTTGATGTAAAGAACGATTCCCTTAACTTGGGCTTCACAGGATTTTCACAGACAACAGCTCTGCCAAAGGTGAGCTTATAATTCAAAACACTAACTGATGGGAAGCAATACGCCATGGATAATAAGCAGCAGGCAAGATAACAGCATTGCTAGACTTCAAGAACTTCTGATAATTGAACACTCTGATACAGCATTCAACATAAGTATGTTTCAGGTTCTCTATCTCCACTTAGAATGCTGTAAAAAAAAAAAAACAAAACAAAACAAAACTGTTACTGTCTAGCCAGATGCAGTGGTGGGTGCCTGTAATTCCAGCTGCTTGGGAGGCTGAGGCAGGAGAATTACTTGAACCCAGGAGGCGGAGGTTGCAGTAAGCTGAGATCATGCCACTGCACTCCAGCCTGGGTGACAAGAGCAAGACTCTGTTTCAAAAAAAAAACAAAAATGCTACTCTCACCCTAATAATAAAAAGTGGGATCATCAACCAAGGCTTTCCTTGAGCCCATAAGAACATTCTAGTAGCAGGGTAGTTAACTAGGCAGAATTCAAAAGAGAGGCAAGCCTACCCAAACAGAGCTGGAACACATGAGCTTTCTCATTTTTGGTCAAGCAGGAGAAAAACAGGTCACCACCATACAAGTGGGTAAGAAGTAACCACTGAATTTTTTCATAGCCAAGTGTGGGATATCACATGCATTTGAAAAATCCAAAGGCCCCAGGCACCAGGGAGCTTGCACTCACAAGCTCTTCTCCATAGGTCTCTGCAAGATGTTCTCTTTCTCTGTGTGTGTGTGTTTGTGTGTGTGTATCTCTCACTCTGTCCTTTGAACTCTAGCTACTTTGACCTCTCCAAACCCCTCAGCCTATTGAGATCACTGGGCTCTGCCTAAGTTGTCACTCCTAATGCTGCCCTGGAAACTCCCCAGACAATGCCTGAAGCAATCCTAGGGCTGCACTCAGCTGCTTTCCATCTCTCAGTAGATCACTGGCCTTTGCTGCTTATTCTCTGATATATGGGAAATCACTGTTTCATATATTTTTTCTTGTTTTTTAATTAAATTGGGAGGATAAGTCTCATCCTTGTTACTCCATCCTTTCCAGACATTAAAAATTCAAATACTAGATTTTTACCCATGTGGTTCCATTGAGAATCCTGGAACTGTGAAAAGCTCTGCATTTCAACTCTGGAAGGAAAAGGGAGGACTGGGGTGATGGCCTCTGGGTTCTCCCAGCTCGGCTGCATACAACCTCAGTGATCTTAGGAAGGTGCTTTGCCTCACTGAGGCCTCGTCTACACATGAAGACTAAGTATTACCCACGGGCTTCACCAGGTGCCCTACGGTCGAATGAAACCACACATACATGGGGAACGGGGAAATGTTAGCATCGTATACGCTTCCCTGGGACTCCCAAGGGCTAGAGAGTACACTCTACAAATAAGCAAATTTAAGATAAAATGTTTTGTATTAAATGATGAATTACATACGTTTCCACAAATAGCTAACCTAAATTATCTGCCAAAATTTTCTAAGGACTCTTCTCTTAAAAAGCACTGTGCGAATTCATTTTGAGTACGAAATTGGCAGCAATCTCTCCGGTGTAGGTTACCCCTGGAAAGATACACAGGAAAGTGGGTCACAGTGGTAGCCTCCAGGAGGAAACTGGTAGTGAGGGCCAACCACCGGAAACAGCCTGATGTTTCACTGACCGTCTTTTCTAAACCTTAAAAATTGTTCCATGGGCTTGTATCTTTATTAAATATATAAACTGAGCACCTAATATTAATTTAGATAAATGTTTTTAAAGCCTGAAGCAGCCTTTAGGGATGCCCACAGCCTTTAATGAATGTTTGCAGATCCACGTTCCTCTTAATGTAAAATGAATTAAGAGGAAAATAGATCTGTAACTACCCTCCCTTCCTTGTTGCCGGAAAACCCAACTTCCCCATGTAATCCGTGACTTCTGGGAGTAGGAAAAGCTTTGTGGTTCGTAATATCATTCCTGACATACTGACTGTGCCTAAACTTCAGTTTAAGACTTTAGGACCTGGTAAATCTAAGTATTCCATGGGACATATATAAATTCATGTAATAATCATTCATTTCCTGTAACATTAATGTCAACAAGAGACATTTCCTCTGCAATCCCTGCTGAGCCTGCTAGGTGCTCAGCAGGTATACATAAGAGGTTCTTGTTTCCAAGAAATGAGACTGAGGGGCCAGGCCCATCAACAGTAGTCATTATTCATGTGTTCACAAAATGCAGATGACCAAACAGTAGTTTTAAGGGTTCCAGGTTGCACCTGCAGAGTTTTGGGAGAACTAAAGAGAGGTGGGGCCTCCTGGCGTACTTTGAGAGTAAGAAGAGTAAATAAAGGAAGAGGATTAGGGTTCTCTGTAGGGTGCCCCCCTACAGAGGAAAGGGCACCTCCCAGGCTGGGGGCTGCTTCAAAGGGAGCCCCCCAGCCACCAGCTGCAGCGACCAGGGCCGGTTTGGGGGGACTTGGAGCCGCTGCTGGACCGATGCCACCCCACACTGCCTGCACCTCTCCCTGAGCAGCGGGGACCACACAGCACAGTTATTGGTAGAAAGGGCTGGACAGGAAGAGACGTGGGGAAAATTCAGCGTCTGTAAAACCTGTGTCCAGGTCCAAGGACTGTGGCTCAAGTGACCATGAGTGTCAGATCCACAGAAGGGAGCCCTGCTCACCACCAGCGGTGGGGAGCCCTTAGGACACAGTGGACAGAATACTTCTATGCTAGCGTCTCCTAAGAGTGTAAAGAGAAAACACAGAGAAAGCACGAAGATGTAGGACTCCACTCATCGCTTGGGCACCAAGCCACACTTTCTGGGGCTTGTTGGAGGAAAGGTTTTGATGGCCTCGCCTGAGGCTGTGTCTCGAGAAGCCGCGGCACCTCACCTCGCCTGCTCTGTGCGTGGGTGCTTTGCTCAGCGCTTACAGCTCCCTGAAGTTAAACGAAAACGTGGAATCATGCCTTAATTATTTACAAAGCGTGATCATTGTACTTATTGTTTTCCCCACAGAAAAGACGAATTCAAAGAACACTCAGTATGAAAATCTATCCTTTCTGGACAAAATCCTTCAAAATATTGGAAGATCTTCAGGTAGATTGGAAATAGTAGATAAATGTCTTCTCATTTGGGGCTTTTTTTTCCTGCTCAAGGGACAGGTGTGTCACCAGGCAGCTCCAGGGAGAGCAGGTGAGCCCAGCCCCAGGTGGACCCACCTGAGCTCCACAGGAGCCCTGTCCAGCCGCTGATGGGTGGACACCTGACCGGACAAGTCCAGTTCAAGGAGTCAAGGCCCTTGTCAGTGAGGGAGTGCTCTCCCTTTTCAGCTGAATGGAGCAGGGGACCAGTTCCCCTTTTCCCAAGAATAATCAGGACTCACAAGACTGCCGCCACCCACCCACACAAGGGTCCCAACCACGTGGTGGCAGGAGCCTGCTCCTTTGTGACAGGCCCAGGAAGGGCCCCCACACCCCGGTCAGGAAGCCCCCTACCCTCTCATGGGGTGAGGACCCCCAGTCCAGCCCTTCTCCACTCCCTATTCACACAGCTCCACCACTGCCCGCCTGCTAAGAGTTGGCCATGCAGATCCTGTGGCTTCTGCCCCTGGCCCAAGGCTTCTCCTCGGAGCTTTCCAGAACACCTGGGAGCCAGTCCTGGGTGAGGCTGACAGCCCTCCTGTCCTCCTGGCATCCCTGATTCACATGGCGGCCCAGTGTGCCCAGACCCTCCCCCCAATACCCTGCAGCACATGCCCGTCCACGCAGCCTGAGACCTTCCATCTGGAGCACCTTCCAACTTTGCCAGGCCAGTGTCAGTCCCCAGTCAGACCACGAAAACCCAGGCCACAAGGTCGGCACATATCCCCAGCAGCAGGGACCAGGCCAACACACACGGTGTGGAAAGGGCAGTGAGCGGTTGTTCAAGCCACGGCCAGTTTCCCAGACCGTGCCACTGTCCAGGACAACCTCTGCTGCTTCAGATACAATTTCATGATTGACCTTGTCAAGGTTCCAGTTCCCTGGGACCTGACTGTTCTGCAGGGAGAACCACAAATTCTCCTATAACTCAGACAGCAAAAGATAGGGGCCTCTCCACTGATGAAGCTCCTGTGCGTCACCAGCACCTCTAGGTGCGGCCGTCGGCAACAGAAGCCCCAGAGTTGACAGTGGGGACTTCCAGAGCCCTGGCAATGCTGGACAGTGAAGAACCGGGAGTCCCCCACCTCCTGGTACTGACATCCCAGGAATGAGATCCATAGCCGCCCACTGTGAGGGGAGGAGGAGGACCGGCCCAGCCCTGCCAAGCTTGGAGTTGTCGATGGGTTTTGAGGGAGAATGCAGGGGAAATTACTCTGGACAGGGTGGCCCTGCGGGGAGAGCCAAAGGCAGCCCGACGCAGCCAGCACCCCCTCTGTCCTCCTGCCTCGGATACATCCGCAGGGCTCTCCCCTCCCTCCATAACTGAGGGCTCGGTTCCTCCTGTCCCCTGGTGTCCCTTGATCCTGACGGTGTCCCCATCTCCCTCATACCACACACTGCCAGGCTCAAAATCTCCTCTTTCTACACAGGAAACATTTTCCGTAACGAGCAGCAGAGGACCAGCTCTCAGAGAAAGAGCCGAGACAGTCAGTGAGGCCACAGCCCCAGAGCCTCTGCACAGGAGACGAGCCTGCTAGAACCCCCACGCGCCAGCCTCTGGAACAGGGCACTTGTGTGCACATGCCCACGTTCTCTGAACCATTCTGCATAAAGGAAAATTGTTTATTCACACAATCCCAATTGGAGTTGGTTTATTTAAGTGTTAAACCACAGGGTGCGTGGGATTTGGGTTTAAAAAAAAAAAAGAAAAAGAAAACAAGAAACAAAAAAATATATTGAGTCTGGAAATAAGAGCATCAGAATATTCTGTCTACAAATAACATAATCTCAGAGCACATAAAGAATTCGTCCATGAGGAACAGAGACTACGAAGGCCTGAGAGTCTCTTCCCTGCTGCCATGCCTTGCAAAACACACAAGCACACATATAACACACGCATACACAACACACATGCACATATAACACGTGCACACATACAACATGCACACATGGACATACATGTGTATGCATGCAACACAACATGCACACGTGCAACATGCACACACATGCAATGTACATGCACATCCAACACGTACACATGCAATGCACATGCATACAATATGCACACATGTGCAACATGCACACATGCAACACACACACACACACACACAACACATGCGCACACACGAAGCCTCATTGCTTCAGAACGTTTGCCAAGCTTGGGAATGCTGGCTGGGACTGTGTGTTGTGGAAGGTGAAGGTTTGCTCCAGGTGGTGTGTGTGACCTACAGCATTAGCTGGGGGTAGGGGCTGGGGGTGACCAGGACACATCTTGGGCAACTTTTCTTATCCAAACTGATTCTGATGGTGGATGGGCTGCAAGCTCTGTTGGACTCATTGAGGTGACCATCTGGAAAGATTCAGGATAAAATATGATTTTCCCACTTCTCTAGAAAGGCAGCCAGGCTTGGAGAAGCTCATGGATCGCATTTGAGAATGATCCTGGACTAGAAAGGCAGCCAGGCTTGGAGAAGCTCATGGATCGCGTTTGAGAACGATCCTGGAGAGAGGACTTCTGTGCCTTTTGCGCAGTTTAGCAGTGGATTGGTGTCCTTTCTATTAATAACACCATTTTCAAAGGCAGCTGGAAACAGAATCAGATGCTGCCATTGTACTTGTGGCTGCTGGCTGTGCTCTCTTCCTAAGAGATGCAAACATCCTATGCCCTCTTTCTATGGTGTCTTCGAGGCAACTGCAGAGGACTGAGGGGTTGGAATCAGAGAACGCTTGTGTCGGAATGGCCCTTTGAGGCCTTTCATGCAATCCCTCAATTCCAGATGAGGAAACCGAGGCAGCGAGGACACATGACTTGCTAGTCAGTAAGTCGGTGGCAGGGCAGGATGGTTATTTCTGATGCCCAATGCTATCCTGTGTCTACTAAACCACGTTGCAGCCTCTCTAATAATACAGGAACAGCTCTGCGTAATTCTCCTTCCTTTGTGTGCTTGCAGTTTTTATTTTTCTGTTTTGTGCATGGATCTCACAAAGCATTTTTAGCGAACTCTGTGGTTTATAAGTTGTTTCCATGCACAGTGGGCCACCAAGTCCTCACAGCAAGGCCGGGAGGCAGGCGTCGCCTCCACTCCACATGAGCGGGCCTGGGGCTCAGCGGTATTCAGTGGCTCACTCACTGCCAGACCGTCACGTGGCCTGCTGCGGACCTGACACCGTGCCCCAGGCCAGGCCCTTGCTGCTGGATGTTTTCATTGTCAACGGCATCATCGTTTTCCAAGCAGGGCCTTGCAGGGTTTGTCCCCCTTGGCAGAGCAGTCCTGACCCAGAGAAGACAAAACATAAAAAGTGCCATCGATTTGATCACTCTCTGTCCTCTGTCCTGACCACACGAGATCCCTGATTACACAGTCTTCAAAAGCTGGACGTTTCATTTAATAGTCTGATCACATCAAAATACTCCCTGTCTCAGGGATGGCACTGAAAACAGCCAAGGGAACACGTTGGGTCTCCAGATTGACGACTGCTGTGCAGGGCTCAAGCACACCCCTCTTGCTGTATGGGACCCACCATCGCTGTTAGGGAACACGTTGCGTCTCCAGGTCAATGATTGCTGTGCAGGGCTCAAGCACGCCCCTCTTGCTGTATGGGACCCACCATCGCTGTTAGGGAACACGTTGGGTCTCCAGGTCAATGATTGCTGTGCAGGGCTCAAGCACGCCCCTCTTGCTGTATGGGACCCACCATTGCTGTTAGGGAACACGTTGGGTCTCCAGGTCAATGATTGCTGTGCAGGGCTCAAGCACACCCCTCTTGCTGTATGGGACCCACCGTCGCTGTTAGGGAACACGTTGGGTCTCCAGATTGACGACTGCTGTGCAGGGCTCAAGCACACCCCTCTTGCTGTATGGGACCCACCGTCGCTGTTAGGGAACACGTTGGGTCTCCAGGTCAATGATTGCTGTGCAGGGCTCAAGCACGCCCCTCTTGCTGTATGGGACCCACCATTGCTGTTAGGGAACACGTTGGGTCTCCAGGTCAATGATTGCTGTGCAGGGCTCAAGCACACCCCTCTTGCTGTATGGGACCCACCGTCGCTGTTAGGGAACACGTTGGGTCTCCAGGTCAATGATTGCTGTGCAGGGCTCAAGCACACCCCTCTTGCTGTATGGGACCCACAGTCGCTGTTCCCAGGAGGCTTAAGACAGAGTCGGGAACTAAGCTGACGAGGAAAAACATCAATGTTAATAGCTAACCCACGGCAAGTGATGAACTGGCTTAGAGGGGTGTTAAAGACGTGCCTGTGAGGGGGAAGTGATCGCCCACATGTACTAGGATGGGCATTCCAGGAAAAAAGTGTCCCAAAGCTGCCAGGGCAGGGGTGGGTGAGCGTCGGGGGGGCTCTGCCACCCAGGTGGGAACTGTGGCCAGAGTGGTCCCCTATTATATGTTATGGGTGGGAGGCAATGGTGAAACATATTAATGTACGCTGTATGATTTCAGTTTTTTGAAATTTTTTGAGAGTTGATTTATGGCCAAACATACAGCCAATTTTAGTAAAAATTCCATTTGGAACTTGGGAGGATGGTGTATTCTGCAGTTTTGGGGGGTGGGATCCCATAGAGTCAGTCGAGTCAAGTTTGTTAATTGTGTGGTTAAAATATCTCCTTACTCATTGCTCTTCAGTCATCAAATGTCATAAGAGGTGAGGAAAAAACCCCACTCTGAATGCAAGTGATTTGTTTCTTTAGTTCTATTTTCCTTTGTATGTTTCAAAGCTTTGTTGCTAGGGTCCTACAGACTAAATTGTCTTTCTGGTGGATTTCAGCCTCTATTGTTATGAAATATTCCTCTTTATCTGTAGTATTTCTTCTTGCCTTATATTCATTTTGTCTGGTATTAACATAGCCACACTAACTTTCTCTTGGTAAAGGTTGCATGGTATATCATTTTCCATCCTATTAAACTTCACTGTAGTGTTATATTTAATATATATGTGTGTATATATATATATATATATTTTTTTTTTTAGGTAATATATAGGAGCACATTTTTAGAAATCCAGTCCTTTTGTCTTTTAATCGGCATATTTCATCCTTTTCTGTGAAATATAAGTAGTCCTATAGCTGGGTTTGTATCTATGATGTCACTATTTATTTTCTATTTGTCTCACATGCCTCATTTTTTTCTTCTTTCACTTTATTTGGATTAAGCAAGTATTTTTTCATTCCATTTTCCCCTCTATTAGATCATCATGTATTTTAATATTGTTTTAAAGGTTATATTAGAGACTACAATATATATCCTTGACTTACCATCACCTAAAATTAATACTTTTAACCACTTCCTAACTTTTCTTTTCTTTCACTTTATTTGGATTGAGCAAGTTTTTTTTCATTCAATTTCCCCCTCTATTAGATCATGGATTATGTATTTTTAATATTATTTTAAAGGTTATATTAGAGACTACTACAGTATGCATCTTGGACTTCCTATAACCTAAAATTAGTACTTTTACCATTTCCTGAATAACGCAAGGGGAATACTTAACTCCACTTACCATTTTTTGCATTATTTTTGTCACAAATTTTAATTCTACATATATTTTAAATGCTTCAAAATATTATACTTAGGTCTATGCACTTAATATTTGTTTCGGATTTATTCACATATTTACTCTTTTATTTGTTCTTCATTCCATTGTGCATTTTTAATGCTTCTGGCTATCAGTATATTCCTGCCAACTAACTCCTTTTAGTATTTTAGTGTAGGCCTACTGGGAAAATTCTTAGGTTTTTATTTTTCTGAAAATATCTTTACCTTCATGTTTTGAAGAATGTTTTCACTAGACGTACACTCTAGATTAGCCAACTTTCTTTTCCATTGTCTTTTGACCTCCATCATTTCTCCTGGGGAATCTGCTGTCGCTCTTTGTGTTATTACTGCTCCTTGGACAGTAACGTGTCTTTCTACCTCTGGCTAATGTTAATCATTTCTCTTTGCCTTTTCATTTCAGCATTTTCACAATGATGTTCCTAGCTGTGTTTTCACTGCATTTATCCCGTCTGGGGTTTATGGTGATATTTGCACCCATGGCTTATTTATTAAGTTCTGAAAAATCCTGTCTTTTCAAATATTCTGTGCCTTTTTTCTCTCTCTCTTCCTTCTCTCCTCCAATTACGCATGTTCGATGTTTGTGCTGTGTCCCACGTTTTTCTTATACTCTTTTTATTTTTCATTCTTTGTTCTCTTTTATTTTAATCTGAATATTTTCTCCTGACCTACATCCAGATCACTAAATCTCTCTTCAGCTTTGGCTAATCATTTAATCATCATAATTAAGTTTTAATTACTATATATTTTAATTCTGGAATTTCCATTTGGTTCTATTTCATGGATTCCACTTATCTGTGACGTTCACCACTGTGTCATCTGTTTTATGGATATATTAATCACAGTTATGTCTAATCTGTATTTGATAACTCCAATATCTGTATTACCCAGAAGTCTGTTTCTATTGCCTGGATTATTGATATGATTGGTACTTTTTGATGGAATGCTGGACATCACATGATGAAAAACTAGACACTCTGAAAAACATCTAGTTCTGGTAGCCAGTTAGAGTGAGGACAGATCATCTTAATTAAGTTGTTGTTTTTTTTTTTTTTTTTTGAGACGGAGTCTCGCTC